ATTAACTTAAAACTCCAATAAATTTTTTTGTTGTCTTTGAGAAAACCATGTAAGGAGATCAAGAACAAAAGTTGGAAGTAACCCTACGAATAGTGACCTCTTGTAAAATTTAGTAGCACCTTGTGATCAAAACCCAAAAGTTTTTTATTATCAAGCAATCAATTTTATTATCATTTAAAATTGACAAAAGGTAGAGAATGTGATAATAAAATAATAAGCACCCCTTCCTTTCTCTTTTAAAATTGGAATATGGGGGGGGGGGGGGGGAAGAAAAGGGACCATCACCTAGATCCCTTGGGATATCAAGCCTGTTTTCCTTTTCATGAAATAATTAGGACCCAGTCCCAATGTATATATAAAACACAAGACACAAAATGGATGTATGTGTTACCTTGAAACATCGGGTGGATTTAGAAAACTTGTGAAGTCAAAATTAGTTTGCCCATATCTACAACACTAAACTAACCAGGTATTCTTTGACGGAGGTATGATACATGTCACACACCCTTTGTAAACCATTTAAAAAAAATCAAACTGCTCGCTTCACCAAATTAAATGTTTCTATTAATAGTTTGATTGTCACTCCTAAAATTCCATAAACCTTGTACCAAATTTCTAACAACTTATTTGTCCCCCGTATAACATCCAATTGTAGTCCTGCATCAGATTTGAACCATTTTTCTTTCATAAAGTACTTGATCCCGCTAAGATTATCATGCCTAATCCAGGTGTGTGTACTGCGAGTCAGTTTTGAAAACTGCCATATATTTGTAAAACGAATTTCAACTCTATATTCAACAATTGAGGATTACAACCAAGGCAAAAGACAATTCACTGTTTACTGAATTAATGATCTCTTTTGCCTGCAATCACTCATAGTCAAAATCAAAATCTGAGTAAAAAAGGTCTATCATCTACATACATAGATAAGAATTTTTACCCTCATTTTTTCCTGCAATTTTTTAGCATCAAACTGCTCCCCTTCAGTGAAAATGTCTAGTGAGGCCACTGATGCCATAGCAAGTTTTCCTATATATTCCTCGAAAAGTTCACTACCAAAAAGCATTGCAAATATCGCTGCAGGATCAATAATTGCCTCACTGCCAAAAAAAATAGCCATCAAATAAATAGAATGGGAGAATACAATATTCCTTTCAATTTTTAAAAATGTGAATGAGCCTTGAAAATTGATATATTCATAGAGTAAGAGTAGGAAACTAACGTGGAGATTCCTGACTTCCCATGAGCATCATATGCTTGCCGCTGTTTCGCATCACTTAATACTTGGTAAGCCTCTCCCAACACCTGAATAGAACTTAAGAAAAACAAAAATTCTCAAATAATAATTCAAATACCAAGGTCGAGATCCAAGCAGTTTGCACCTCAACACTTACAATGTTCAAAGGATTTGATGATATAGACTTAATTAAAGAGAACATCAAATAATCACAAATGGCATCAGAAATAAAAATGTAACGGCTTGCCTGAAATTTCTCAGCTGCTTGAGGATCATTTGGGTTTTTATCCGGATGCACTTTTCTTGCCTGCATAAATAAAGAAATTGAAATTGTTTATCTTTTTTTTCATTTAAGGTCACAATCTATTATCAGAATCAATCTTTATACGCATTAAATAAGCAAACCCAGAATAAATCTAGACCCAGATTTTGAATTTGATTCCTCAAAGTTCCCAAGAATATGAAATTAGAAAATTGTAAAGGAAACAGGGTAACTTGAATTGATCAACATTCCATAAATAAAAGAAACTGTGATTATTACAATCAGATTGAATTCGAAAATTGTATAATCCTGAAAAAAACGACCCAATTCAAACAGATTATGAAAACGGAAGAAAAGGGAAATTAGATTAAACCTTATATAATAAGCTTTCTTGATTTCGGACTCTGTAGCAGAAGGGCTGACACCTAAGATATCGTAGAATTCAGTCTCCTTCACCATTGCCGATCATGAAACAGAATTTTGCAGAGATTATTATTATTTCTTGAAAAAATAAAAATTCAAAAGAAATGCGAGAAAGAACAGGAAGGGTTTGGTTTTATGATCAAATGAATGTGAAATTGAAAAGAAAGAAATCACAGAATAAAAAATGAAAAAATGCGAAAACGATGGAATAATAGAGAAGAAATATTCCAAAATTAATTGAAACGGAAATGAAAAGCCGCGAATTTTGGCGTCACTCCACGCGCAGCCTCACACCTTTCGATTTCATCTTAAATTAAATTCCTTTGCAGCGTTGAATATTGCCTCCCTGGCTGCTGCAGCACAGTCAATTCCCTTTTGGGGACAAATTGCAATAGACGTCCCCAAACGATTTCTAAATTGATTTTAAAATTTTAGAACATTCTGATTAAATCTTTTGCTTTCCAACTACTTTCAATTGTATTGACCACGTTAAATGTTATTAAGATATGATGTGATAAATGTCGAATTTACCATATAAAAATAATTCCTGATTCTTAAATAAATAAATAAAGTAATATAGAGAAGGTCGATCCACAAAGATTATAGGAAGTTTGATAATGTTGTTTCCGGGATTGAATTAACTACAAGAAATTAAAAGGGGAGTTAAAATTAATGAATAAAATAAATAAATAAATATTGAATAAAAATAATAATGACAAAATAAATAAAGCAGAAAAATTCATTAAATATGATATAGTCTCAGGTTTTGCTTAGCCTCAATTTCGATCGGTCATCGAAATAAAAGTATGTCAGCTACAGTCAACAAGGCCCAACTCCTATAGCTAACTCTTATATCCGGTTAATCGAAATTTCCAAGTCTATCTTCGAAATCCGATTTTTGTTGGTCTAGCCACGTCTATCGCCGTTAGATCCAAAATAACTTTAAATTATGGTTATAGTGTGTCACCGAGAATCGAACTTGATCTTGATTCCCCTTAACAGATCGCCGCTAATTTTGTTCACAGGAAGCCGAATTACGACCAACGATCCGACTTCCAAACTTCAAGCAAAACAATCTTCAAATCAAATTGCACCTTTTGAGTTGAAGATGTAATAACTTTTAAGAGAATGACCGATTGTCGCTTCCAGTTTCCAAATAATCAAGAATATGATCTGATTGTATGAAGATCAAGATTCAATTCTCACGAATGTAATTGAGTTTCGCAAAAAAAAACTTTGACTAAGTAGAAGTTTAGCCATGCATGGATTGAATCATACTTAGCATTGTGAAAAGAAAAGAAAAAGGAAAAAAGATGGAGACGGAGATGAAAGAAAAGTAGAACTTCAATAAATAACTAAGAGAAATAAATTTCAATATGAGTTTCAACTGTTGAACCTAAGGGTATTTATAACCCTATAGTTCTAAGTAAATAAAATAATTAATTCCTAAAATAATCAAACTAAAAATCTTAATAAGGCTTCTAATAAAATAACTAATTCTTAAATAAAATAATAATAGAACAATCAAACTAAAAATCCTAAATTAAAAAGGTTTATCACAAATATAAATATTAAGTCTTCTGGTTGAATTCTTCTTCATCTTCTAGATAACATGTTCCCATGTAAATTTCAAATTAAATATTCAAGGAAATTATGCTTATCTTCTATATGATGTTGAATGAACTGTCGAAATCTACTAGTTTTTAGGCTAATTAATCCAACGAAGTTCCTATCCAAAATAAACTCAAAATAAAGATAAATCAATAATATCCAAGCGATAAATGAAAAGTAAATAATAATAAAAATATGTAATATTAAACTCTAATCATGATGTGTTGTTAAGAATATTGGGTTAATAATTCTTTATGTACTACTAAAGAATCAACATACTTTCAAGGTTTTTGTTCTTAGGTTTCGAAATAGTTGATATAATGATAAAATTAGTCTCTTATGTTTGATAAATGGTTATCTTGGCCCACATTGTTTTGAAGCATCCTCACGTTTCATTTTGGGATAAAATACGCTTGATTAAATGAAAATAGTTAGTTAACTAACGATCAACGCTACAAGTTGATTGATCTAAATATGGTTGCTAAGTATCGACCTTCTCCTAGTGAACCACCGAACCCCTCTTCTCATGCTACTTCTCCATCGATGATTGATCTAAATGCCCCGAACCTTGCCTCAGCTGCTATGAATGTTGACCCGGTTGCTACGACCGTGACCCCTTCGCGTCAATAAATGATGGTGTGGCCTCCTTTTTTAAGTTTATTTTAATGGACTTTAACCTATTATGTTAGAATGTTCAGGGTTATGGAAACTCAAAATTTGTTACAACTGCTCGCCAATATATTTTGGACTATCATCCTGATTTTATTAGTTTTGTGGAGCCTCGCATCAGTGGTGCTCGTGCCGACTTTGTCATCAAAGCTCTCAATTTTCCAAACTCTCATAGCGATGAAGTAGCTGGGTTTTCTGGTGGTATTTGACTTTGTTGGAACGACTTTCTTGATGTGGAAATTCTTGTTAACCATTTCCAATTTGTTCACTATCGTATTTCTTTGTTTTGGATAAATCAAGATTTTATTACCCAAAAATAGCAGCAAGCTGCTTACAAATAACAGTTCAAACAAAGGAACAAGAAAGGGAGCAGATTACAACAAAACTAGGCTATTTCCCAATGATTACATAAAGCTATGTTTCTGCTATCAAATCTATTGAAGTTTCTATTACATAAAGTAGTTCTTACCATCTCCTTAATAGCTTTTATAATATCTGTTTCGGTTCTGCAAATTCCTTTAAAAATCCTACGATTTCGTTCCTCCCAAATGGTGTAATTAAAGGCGTTCCATGAGAGCTTTAGAATGCAAGACAACATAGATTTACCTTTCCATGTAGAGGTAGCCCATTCCAACAAATTAGTCCAGTCCGAGAATTGTCTGTTCAAACCAGAAAGTTGAAGGATTGATTTCCAAATGGAAGCAGACTTCGGACACTCGGCAAAGAGGTGATTCCTAGTTTATGTTGCTTCCGAGCAGAACATACAAAGATCGTTGGTGATAATACCAAGTCTTTGCATTATGTCCTTGGTGGTAGACGATCCAAAATAACCATCCATGAAATTATGATATACTTCGGGACATGAAGAGGATACCAGACTAGTTTATGCCAAGCGACTTTAGTGTCTTTAGGACGGATCTCTTCCCAAATCTCTTTAGTGTTTTTTACTGCTATTACACTCACTATTTGAGCGACATTTCTGAGCTTCAGCATTCGCTTGAAACTCCAGCTAGCAGTTTGCGGTTCTTCCATGGTCCAGAAATCATGCTGCCTAATTATGTAGTTATGAAGCCATGCTATCCATAGAGAACCCTCCCTCACTAGTAATTTCCTGATCAAAAAAATTAGGTAGGCGTTGTTCCAGGACTTGATATCCTTTAATCCCAAGCCTCCTTTTGATTTCGGTTTGCAAATTTTCACCCAACTCACCCTTGCATCGACAGGCGAAGTGTCCGATCCTTTCCAGAAAAATCTGGAGCATAATTGCTCAATCTTCTTGATAATGGACTGTGGTAAAACTAGTTGTCTACACCAATAATTAGCAACGCTGTAGAGAACTGTCTTAATAAGCTCAACCCTTCCTACATAACTCAATTTCTTCCTAGACCATTGGTGAAGTCTGCTCTTGATATTGTCTAGCAGAGCTTGGTAATCTTTATCGATAAGCTTTCTGGTGACAAGAGGTACCCCCAGGTATCTAATAAGCAGCCTACCTTGTTTGAAACCAGTATAACTGATGATAGAGTCAAGATTATGAGCCGAAATACCAACAGTGAAGATCTCAGATTTACCTGCATTGAGCTTCAACCCTGAATATTCATAAAAACAGTCCAAAACAGAAATGACTCCCAAAACAGAATGAAAGTTTCCTTTGCAGAAAATTAATAAGTCATCAGCAAATGACAAGTGGGTGAGTTCTATTTTCTTGCATTTTGGATGGAATGAAAAAATCCCTCTAGAAGCAGCGTTATTGAGAATATTAGAGAGCACATTCATAACCAGAACAAATAAATATGGGAAAGCGGGTCTCCTTGTCTTATTCCCTTTGCACCCTTAAAAAACTAACCAAGCTTCCATTGAGAGCAATGGAATATCTAGCATCCATAAAGCAAGAAACAATCCAATCGATGAATTTAGAAGGTAAATCCAGAGCTTTAAGAATTGCATAAATAAACTCCCAATTGATGGAGTCAAAAGCCTTTTGAAGATCAATTTTCAGTGCACACCTTGGTGATATGAACTTCCTCCCATATCCTTTAACAATTTCCTACGCAAGAAGGGTATTATCAACTATACTCATTTCTTTGACAAAAGCATATTGATTAGGAGCTATAATCATTGGCAGCAGATTTGTCATTCTATTGACAAGAATCTTTGTAATGGTCTTGTAAATAACCGAACAATAAAAAATGGGTATGAAGTCAGAAACAGTGCTAGGATTTGGCTTTTTTGGAATTAAAACAATAGTGGTTGCATTAAAGGTTGAATAAATAAAAGATTCTTGAAATAAGTACTTTATTGCCTTAATAACATCATTACCAACCACTGGCCAAGCTTTCTTGAAAAACAGAGAAGTAAAACCGTCCGGGAGCCTTGTCATTGCCTTGGCTGAAAATAACCTCTTTAATGTCATCACTAGTAACATCTTTGACAAGAGCATCAGGGTCTACAAGTGATAAGATAGGTTGCATAAGACCTTTAAGAAGTGCAGGAAAGCAATCTTTAACTTCTAGATTCTTGGAGCCTAAAAGATTTTTGAAGAACTCAAGTATTTTCGAGGACATTTCATCAAATGATTCAAGTCTTTCCCCCCGATTGTTGACAGGAACCCTTATAGTATGCCTCTTGTTCTTAGTAGCAATTACTGAGTGAAAGAACTTTGTACATTTGTCACCCTCCTTTAGCCAATGCATTTTAGCTTTTTGTTTTAAGAACATGGTCTCTGCTTCTGCTAAAGAATTGAACTCCCGTTGCAACTCGAGTTCTTTCTCCAACGAATCATCACCTCTTAAGGTAAGAATTTGATGTCTATCAAGTTCTTCTCTTTTTTGTCTAGTTCTAGCCCAAATGTCACTGAAGTGGTCTTTATTGAGATGTTTAAGGCTAACTTTGAGACGTTTAAGCTTTAGGAACAAAGACTTCATTGGATTACCTTGTGTTGCCATATTCCATGATTGACTAACATTGTTTAGAAATTCTGGATGAAGAGCCCAACAGTTAAAGAATTTGAACGATTTGGGTCTATTTGAATGGGCCTCTTTGTGAAGATCAACCGCTACCATACAATGATCAGAAGGACCAGGTGCTAAGAATTCCATAAAGGAATGAGGAAAATATTCGAACCATAAAGGATTGATGAGAACTCTGTCGAGTTTCCGAGCAAGGTAATTGTCGCTTTGTTTGTTACTCCACGAGAAAGTAGGACCAAAGAAAGGATGATCTTGTAACTGTAGATCCTGAATGGTTTCCTGAAATTCTAACACGTCAGAGGAAGTGAACATACCCGTAAGCTCTTGATCAGAACTTTCATAATTATTCAAGATAACATTAAAATCACCTCCCAAGAGCCAAGGAAGGTCACTATAATTAGAATCAAGATGCCGGAGTTCTTGCCAAACTTGTCTTCTAATAATGCCATTATTACTACCATAGATTGCAGTAATAATGAATGGAGCACCATTAAACAGACCTTTGACAGTGATACTCTGATCCGTAGCTTTACATAAGGAGAAATCCAAACCTTTCCTCCATAAAAACCATATCCTATCGTTCACTGCAAAACCATAGTTGGTGAGAACATTCCAATTCTCAAAAGTAGTAGCTAATAATTCATCTGATTTTTCTAATTTCACTCGAGTTTCCATCAAGCATAAAATATCCACATTATTCTTGGCTGCCCTTTGAAGGACTTGGCCTTGTTTAAGAGGATTATTTAATCCTCTTACATTCCAAAAGGAAATGATCATTTTTCTTTGGATGAGGGCCCCGGATCCTCTCCTTTACACCTTACTGAAGAACCCTTAGATTTATCAAGATGAGACTTCTTTTTTATTTTGAGTTATTTGATCAATTCAGCAACACCAGAAGTTGCTGTTCTAACTTTTTCCCCTTGATTTTCTGAGGTAGGGTGATTCTCATTAATCGTGTTTAGAAGCTCAAAACGGTTGCTGGACCCTGTTTCATCGTGAGCTTTAACATGCCTTCCTCTATTTCTTTTATAAAGGACTGGAGGAGAAGAAATTAATTCTACAGAGTTTCCTAGTTGAACTGGAATTTTGGAGTAATCTTCTTTATTAGGATTAGTATGAGTTCCTTGATCATTACCCGTATAAGATACTGGTTTTAAGGGGCACCCGAGGCATCAGATTCGATTACAAAGTGATATGGCTCTAAGGAAGAATGGTTCCCACCTTCAATATACTTAGAAGAAATGTTCAAAGAAGATTTCGGAACAGCAGACGTTGGATTTTGATTATCTTCAGTGCAAGCAATTTCAGGATCCAGGGGGGATGGAGCGGCAGAATCTTTTTTCCTCCAAACCATTGTTGGGGATTGAGGGATAGGATTTTGCTTACATCCTTTAACACTATGTCCAAACACATTGCAGAATTTGCAACAAGGTGGCATCCATGGTACTTCGACAACTATCGAAATTGTTTTACCATTGCTAAGAACAATATCAACAAGCTTAGGAATAGCTTCAGACGCCCCAACTTCAACGCATATTTTTGCAAACTCTAACCTAGATTTTGAGGCGGTTATAGAATCCATTGAAAGGGGGTAACCTATGGCACTAGCAATATAGCTAAGGCCTTCGCAGCTAAACAATTCAAGGGGAACATTAAATAAGTGTACCCAGATAGGAATTCTTGACAAATCAAAATACAGCTTTTCCATGTTGATACCCATTTTCTAAGGATTAAAGGTTTGTTGAAGATGTGCCAATGGCCATTCTCCAATACCCAATCCCGAACATGTTCTGAACTAAACGAAAAAAAGGTAAGTGTTGTTACCTGCATAGCTGATCTGCACCTTGGCTCCTTGCAAGGGCTGTCTCCACATAGAATCGATAATTTGATGCAGAGCAGCTAATTTAGGAGCATCACCAAAAAATTGCCCAACAATCGAAAGACCCCATTCTTTAGTTCCACCTTCGAACACTTCCGGCGGTGGATGAACAGTCGGGATCCCATCTCGGGAATTTGGGGGAAAATATTGTAACTGAGTCCCAGTGGAGTAAGAAAATAGTTTACGTCAGTCCATCAATAGACCGTACAAAGCTTTGAATAGTCTGATAAAGAGAGCGTGATGGAAGATCTTTGAAGAGAAGAGAAGAACGGATCACCGAAAGCGCGACAGCAGATCCCTCAGATTCCATTAGCCCCGCTAATGATCCCCGTATTTCTATCAAAGCAAAAAATACTATTTTTTAGCTATTATCCCAATGCCTCTAAAGGACGTGCTCTTTGTACTCATCTCCATAACCTTGCTTCTACGATCAATACTCTTTAGATTATCTTCGGTGATTTCAACGCCACTCTCTCTTCTACTGAAAGAAAAGGTTGTGTCATATCTTCTAAACCCTATAATCTTTTCCCAGACATTCTTTATGAATGTGATCTTAGAGATATGGGCCCTAACTTCACTTGGTCTCAGGGTGTTTTTCATGTTCCTCTTGACTGTTGGGAAATAAACAGAGTACGAGTAATTTCCCTATAACCAGATTAGTGAGAATGCGAAATAAAAGCAGAAAAATAATACCCGAAAAATTGATAAGGGAGTTCAGCCAATTGTGACTACGTCTCCGGACTGCTGTAGATCTTTTACTAAGAGAGAAATTTACAGGTGTTTATAAAACTCTCACTACTCACAAGAAACTCTCTAGTATTGGGAGAGAAATGATTTGGGATTTGGGATGATTATGAAGCTAAATGAGCTAGGGTATTTATAGTTGAAACTTAGGGACTAATCTTTGAAAATACCCTAAAGTGCAATGACTAAAGTGAATTTACCCATTCCTATTTTCAACAAACATCTACCAAACTTTGAAAAATATTTTTCAAAGAAACATTTACCAAACTTTGAAAAACTTTTTTCAAAGTTGGTTGCCAAACTTTGAAACTAACTTTTAACAATCTCCCACTTGAAGACTGATTTTAATCTGTATTCACACCTCGATCAATGCAACAGTATTTCTGGTCTTGTTATTATAGCATGCCAACTGAAGCTGAACACAACTTCAGTTTGTCCGTAGTCACCGTCTTTGTCAATATGTCTGCCGGATTTTGAGCTCCACTAATCTTTTCAAGTTTTAAAATCCTATCTTCCAGAAGAGATCGAATAAAATGATATCTCAATTGTATGTGCTTCGTCCTGGAATGAAAAGACGGATTCTTTGCTAGATGGATAGCACTTTGATTGTCGCAATACAAGACATTGTTTTCTTGTTTCTTGCCTAACTCTTCCAAGAAACTTTGGAGCCAAACCATCTCCTTGCTAGCTTCTGTAACAACGACATATTCTGCTTCAGTTGTGGAGAGAGCAACTATCTTCTGTAGTTGAGAAACCCAACTCATTGCAGTTCCTCCTAGAGTATAGACATACCATGTAGTGCTCCTTCTGATGTCAATATTTCCGGCTAAGTCAACATCTACATAGACTGTCAGTATCGTATCTCCACCTTTGAAACAAAGTGCTTTGTTTGTAGTACCCCGCAGATATCTGAGGATCTATTTGACTACTTCCCAGTGTACCTTGCCCGGATTATTCATGTACCTGCTAACAGCTCCCACTGCTTGAGCAATATTTGGTCTGGTACAAACCATGACATATATTAGACTTCCAATTGCTGAGGCATACGACACCTTCACCATGTATGCACGTTCTTCCTCAGTCTTTGGTGACTGTTCTTTGGAGAGTCTAAAATAAACACCTAAAGGTGTACTTACTGGTTTAGCATCTTGCATGTTGAACCTGGAGAGTACTTTGTTGATGTACTCAGCCTGTGATAACATCAAAGTCCCCGAATTTGTGTCTCTCTTGATCCTCATCCTAAGAATTTGCTTTGCAGCGCCCAGATCCTTCATAGCAAACTGCTTCGACAATTTTTGCTTCAAGTGTATAATCTCTTGCATGTTTGAGCCTGTAACGAGCATGTCATCAACATACAACAATAAAATAATGAAGCTATTGTCGAACCTCTTGATGTAGAAACAATGATCTGCTTGGCATCTGGTAAAACCATTGTTACCCATGAAGCTATCAAACTTCTTGTACCACTGTCTAGGAGCTTGTTTTAAACCATACAAGCTCTTCTTCAACCTGCATACCAGGTTTTTCTTGCCTACCTCTATGAAGCCTTCTGGCTGCCTCATATAGATTTCTTCCTCCAAATCACCATGAAGGAAAGCTGTCTTTACATCTAACTGCTCAAGATGTAAATTCTCTGCAGCTACAATTTGCAACACCAATCTGATTGTAGTCAGTTTTACGACTGGAGAGAAAATTTCATTGTAGCCAATACCTTCTTTCTGCTGAAAACCTTTGACAACCAATCTCGCTTTGTAGCGTTTGCTCCCATCGTGCTCTTCTTTGATCCTTTAAATCCACTTGTTGTGTAGCGCTTTCTTGCCTGGTGGTAATTCAGCTAATTCCCATGTCTGATTTGACATAAGCGAGTCCATCTCATCTTTCATGGAAGACTCCCACTTGACTGAATCCTCCACTTGCATTGCTTCATCATAGCACCCTGGTTCACCATTGTCAGTCAGCAACAAGTAGTGCAAAGAAGGAGAATACCGTTGGGTTGGTTTAGGAATTCTGGAGGAGCGTCTCAGTTCTGGTGTGCCTTGTTCTTCTTGAACTTCTTCAGAATTGATCTAAACATCATTTCTAGAAATCTCCTCAAACTCAACAAATTCCTTTGTTTTAGCTTCGGTATTGGAGCTACTTGATTCTATAATTGACCTGTCTTTGTACATCATATTCTCATTGAAAATGACATCTCTGCTTCTGATGATCTTTCGATTTTTGTAATCCCAAAACCGATAACCGAACTCATCACCGCCATAACCAACAAAGGCACATTTGTTGGACTTAGCATCAAGTTTACTTCTTTCAGCAGAGTCTTTGTGTACATAAGAAATTCAACCAAACACTCTTAAGTGTGAAAGGTTTATTTCTTTCTTGCTCCAAACTTCCTCTGGTATTCCGCCATCCAAAGGAACTGAAGGCCCACGGTTGATCAAGTAAGCTGTAGTGTTGATAGCTTCAGCCCATATAAATTTGGGCAATCCGGCATGTATCCTCATGCTTCTGGCACGTTCATTCAGAGTTCTGTTCATGCGCTCTGCTACGCCATTTTGCTGTGGTGTCATGGGAACTGTTGTCTCCATCTTGATCCCATTGCTTGCGCAAAATTCTCTGAATCTGCTGTTTCTGTACTCTCCTCCATTATCAGACCTCAACCGCTTGACTTTCAAACCAGTCTCATTTTCTACCATGGCCTTTCATTTTCTGAAGGTATCAAAGACTTCTGATTTCTTCTTCAGAAAATAAACCCACACATTCCTTGTAGAATCATCGATGAAGGTGACATAATATAATGAGCCTGCAGGAGATGGAACTGAAGATGGTCCCCATACATCAGTATGAACCAACTCTAACTTTTCAGCCTTGAGTGTCTTGCCAATCTTTGCAAAACTGACTTTCTTTTGTTTGCCAAAGATGCAATCTTCGCATAGTCCGACATCTACATTCTTTAGATCCGACAGCTTCCCTTTTGAAAAAAGTGTCTTCATCCATTTCTCGCTCATATGGCCAAGCCTTTGGTGCCATAGGTTTGATTTTCTATCAGCGTCTGCTATTGCAATGATATTCTCTAAGTTTGAGGTTACTTAGAGAGTACCAGTCTTCTTACCACGAGCAATGACGAGTGCTTCTTTTGTAATCTTCCATTCACAGCCTG